TTCTTTTTTAAAAACATCAATAATACATTTTCAAACAATTATTATAAAATATAATCAAATATAATATTTTAATAATAGATTTAAAATTTAAACATAATATTAATATATGATGGCATTTAAATTGAATAATTCAGAGTTTCAAATTAATACTTTACTAACTTTTTTTTCATGGAATTTTAATCTACCTGTAACCTTCTAAATCTGGTTTAGACGGTATGATCGAATCTCGGAAATCACAATAGTATAAATTAACATAAACAAGTATTTTCGAGTTTATTGATAAATAACATACCTGGAAAAAATTTCAGATATAGCAAGCAGTGACAGAAAGTTTGTACATTTCAATAATAAAACCGAGTTTATAGAAATTAATGCATGCCAAATATAGTCCAAAACACATAAAATCAGAATATCCCATAATCCCAAATACAAAAAGTAATCCAATGCGAATTATAGGTCTCTGAGAAAAAAATAAAGTCTGAAAATGTCCATACAATATTTAGGAAAATATGCTACTAGTTGATCCTCTGAGTACCAGTCGAAAACCCTAGAGGCCAAAAGGATCTGAAAGGATAGAAACTAAAAGAATGAGTTAGAAAAATATTAAATAAAAATTTTATTAACTGCAAAAATATAAACTAATTAAAAATAAAAAAATAATTAAATAAATAAGTTTTATTGATTTCGATGGGAGACGAAGATTGCAATCCATACTTTCCCTCTTCAGCTAATCAAAATAAAGAATCAGTCCAATTGAAAGTACATTTGTCATACATAGCCGAAAGGAGTGTCATTTCTCTAAATATACGTTGCTTTGGTGTTTTGATATTATAAAATTTGTTCCATACTTCATAATTTATGTTGGATTTACTCAAACCACACAACAGATGCATTTGTTTACCTGCTTTGATGTCTGCTTCCCAGATTTTGTTGAACACGAAAGAGAAAACTTGTGTTACAAAATTCAACAACAATTATATTGGGTTAACAATGGAACCTTGAAGAAGCTCAATTTTAGAGTCAATTTCTTCCCCAAATAAGTTATTGTTTTGTTTGCAATGTAAATCATAGTATACTTCACTGATTTTACAAACGGCGTCCAATCTAACTTCACCACACTCTTGGTTAACAACTTTACTTTATCCATCCTACACCTAATTAAACAAATAATTATATTAATACTTTTATATTCACCTAATCATTCGGGAACTCATCATGCATTCTCTGTAGAGGTCTTGAGTCCGAACAGTTACATCTGTAAATTGTATATGCGTTTAGTGACAGAGTTAAGATACCATCTCAACGAAGGCAAAGTATAACAAACAATACGAATTGAGAGGAGCAAAACGAAACTGAACTAAAATTTGAATGGCTAAGTAGGCATTTTCTTCATATATTTTTTTAGTAATAAGAAATCAGGGAAGCAGTGGCCCCCTTGGATGAAGCATGAAATTTAGTCATTCTATTAAAAAAAATTTGAACATCTATTATCTTATAATTATCTCATACTATTAAAAAAATTAGTCATTCGAAATTGAAATTTAGTTTAGTGAGATATTTTAATAAAAATGTATCAAAATATTTTTGGGTAAATTGTGCATTTAGTATCTAAACTATTACTTTTGTTTTATTTTGGTACTCAAACTTTATTTTTTTTTAAACTATACTTAACGTTTAGTTTAGATTTCAATTTGACATCCTCGTCGTTAAAAATTAACAGAACTAATGATGTAGTATTTTCAATGGTGATGTGGCATTACCTTAAGGTGACACATCAATAGCACCGTTAAGTATTTAACAAGAGGAAAATAAAAAGTAAACTAAACATTAAATATGCTTTTGAAAAATAATAAAGTTTGAGTACCAAAACGAAATAAATTTAATAATTTAAGTACTAAACGTATAGTTTACTCGATATTTTTAATTTAATTCGCGTGGGATGTGCTGACCATTCTACATTATCAATTATAGGAGAATCACTTCTTTTTAACATTTTAGGAAAAGTGAACTACTTAAAATTTAGTAGTTGGATTTTGGAATCACAATTACACATATATTGTATTATAACATATAAATAAAAATTTGGAGAAAGACTATCAAATAATTTCTAATTATGGTCCTTACTGATTTAATCATCTATATAATATACAGAAAGAAATTCAAATATTTGATATATTTCCCTTTGAATGAAATCTCAATTTTAGCGACAATTTCATTAGATATCTTATGACTAGGGTCCTTTTTTTCTATCCAATTCCTCCACCACCGTAAACCCGAGTTAGATTCAAGTATGATACACATTTCAGTTATTAGGAAAACCCAAGTACTCTCTTTCGGATCTAAGGAACAACTCATAGAAATATTTTTTTTCCTTTTAGAAGCTACAGGAGCGAAACAATCAACCTATTGATATTGGAAGACCTAAAAGATTCTTCCAATGTTTATCATTTATGAGTCCAATGGAATTCCTAGGTATAGGAAGAAACTATGTCAAATAGAGATCTTTCTTTTTTAACCATATTTTGCTTGTTAATACAATATATAAAGACTGCTACTACAAATAGTACTAAACTCTTAATCGTGAAATATTGATTGCTTGTTGAACCATGTAAATTGTGTGAAAGTAAGAATATCTAAAAATATATTTTATTAAATTATCTTTATGATATATCCTTTTATAAAAATAACATTCATTCAACATCACCTACGTAATATCAACATTAAATACACCAAGTGGTCACTTTTAACCCTTTTTAACATGTTGTTAACCCTTCAAACATTCATTGAACATCGTGTATCATCCAACTACATTAATCAACATTGAAATATAATCTAAACATACCAAGAGTACATGAAATTCACCAAGATAATCATAAACATTTACCAACTTATCACAACATACAATTTCACCTAAAATTCATCATGAACCAAACATGTTCACATATCATCTTACCCTGTTTTTCATAGGAGAACACAAGGGTCATAACATTACTATTTTAGCATCATATTGTGCTTAAACTTCAAATATCATAGAAACCAAAGTCATGCACATCATAACTTCAAAAGTCGAGCTTTTCTATTAATGAAGCAGTCAGTGTTCAATTCCAACAGTGGAAAGGCTCAGTTTGATTAGAAGATTAACATAGTTCAGTTTCAAGCTTATTCGACAATTAACAGTGACGAAACAAAAAAAATTAACTTTTGATTTCAATTAGAGTGTGAAAAGATTGAAAGGCTTTTTGACAAGTCTGAATGGAAGGTAAGAAAGAAGACATTAACTTAGCATTTCTTTTAGGGGAATAACATGTCACAACATTTTTTTTTCTTAACTCAAAGGATGACAATGACCATAATAATGGAGAATTAAAAGTTTAGTGAATATATTGTAACTCATAAAAGTTTAGTGACGAAAATGTATACACCTTAAAAGTTTAAGCATTACCTATGTAATTTACTCTTTTTAAAAATTATTTGTTAAAACGTGCTGCCAGTCCCCATATTTGAATAAAGTTTACAAATTTAGCCTCTATGCTTAAAAAGATGAAAATTAAATCCTTTTATATTTTCAATTTAAAATCTTAGTCTAATCTTTGACATAATATTTCTCATAAAAGTATTCGTGAATGTAATCGTATCAACTTTAGAAGCAAATCATTATAAACTCGTTAATCATACTTGATATTAAGCAAAAATTTGACGATAAATATTGTGTCAACAATTGGATTAAGATTTTTAAATCGAAAAGATAAAATAAATATTTACATGGACTGAATCTTATACTTTACTAAAGTACGTGGAATTACAGCATATTTTGATTCAAAATTATACATCAAATTAATTGTTAAAATTTCATTATAAAATATTATAATATTCATGTTTAAATAATTTGTGTAAATACAGATAACAAATAAAATAGAAAATTATATATTTCTTTTAAAACATTTTAAGTTTATTTATTTTGAATTTAAATGTAAAATTTCATATTATTGCAATGTAATAAAATTTAATGTCCCTTAATTTTATCAGATTTTAAAAACTAATATGCTATATTATAATTTGATAATATCACATGTGTACCACGCGTCATCGAAATTGGTATATATATATATATATTAATGTGATTTAATAATTGGAGGATGATATTAAAATGATTACAAGCTAATGCCCCAAATAAATGGTAAAATAAAGAGGATTTGGTAACAGTGACAGGTGTAAGTGTGTTTTCGATATATACTAGAATTTGAATTTTTTTCGTTAGTTATTCATTTTATTGATAGTGTTTATATTGAAATTTTATTTATGTTCGTTACATACAAAAAATTTACGTGAATATATATATATATATATCTTTAAAAATATTTATGGATCAACAACAAATTGATAGTGGCTTGAAAAATAGATGCAGGTGATATGTTTGGTAGTCAAGCATTTGTACTTAAATTTAAAAAGATTTAAGTACTAAAATAGAATAATTTCTAATCCTTTAAACGGAAAAATGGATTTACGGAGCCTGATTCCATCTATGAACGCCTCCTTCAGTTGCTCCTTCTATTGAAGGGCCTTGTTTACTTTTCTGGAGTTTGAGGGCATATTTTGTATCCTAACATCATATCAAAGTGATATGCAATCATTATCGAAAGGTACATGTAAACAAAGTCGGACATAGAATTTTATCCTGGGAGCGAAGTTATAAAATTTTAGAAAGAGAAAATGTGTTATCAATAGAAAATATAAAAGAAACGCTTAAATTATATGAGGATTTGAAAATTTTGAGGGGTGACTGCCCGATCGCCTCTTTCTGTACATCCCTCCATGTAACAGAAGATGAAATTCTGATTTATACTAATGAAGAATAAGCTGCAAATAAAAACCAATACATTCACAATGACACTTGCCTCATCAAACGTGTTTACAGAAAAATCAGAAACACATGCAACCCTTACTCTACCATGGACGGCTGGAACGCACATAAATAGGGTTGAATTGTCATGCCTAGTACTTGAGCTTTAAATTATATTCCCACCCTTTGCAGCACCTAGATGAATGGATTAACACTTTGGGAATTGCAGGCTGCATCAATAGATGGTTACCAGTAATCACCACAAGAACAGCTACCTGATTCGAAGTGGTGGAACCGGGATTTATCCCTAACAACTATATCCCTTCCTTCAATCAGTGATATTAACTTGATAACAGTGTGAGTCTCCACACACTCTAAGGTTCTTAACAATCTGAAGCGCTGTTCCAGGAGTAGCGATCAACCCGAAAGCAATAGCCAGTCTCTCACTGTGTTGAGAAAGAATGATTTCTTTGTCTTCATTGGCAATGTCCTGAAGTACATAATCGGTATCAGGTTGATACCCTGTGTCCTTCAGTCGAGATTTTAGCTCATCAAGTTTTGAATAAATATGATCCAACATGGGATGAGAATGATCAGCGGCCAAGAATGAGTGAGTCTTGTTCTTAACTTCAATCCAGCTGTAGCCAGCCTCCTTTTTCACTTTTCTCTGCTCCATCAATTTCCTTACATTCCTTCTTTCATGCCAATTTTCTGCTGCAGCATAAATATTGGAAAGCAAAACATATGCAGCTGAGTCTTCTGGCTGAAGTGAAATAAGCTGGTCTGCAGCATGTTTCCCGAGCTCTAAATTGCGATGAACACGGCAGGCAGCCAAGAGAGTTTGCCACACAGTTGCAGAGGCAGGGAAAGACATCTTGTTGATGATATTCATTGCCTTGTCAAACATTCCAGCTCGGCTATATAGATCAACCATGCAAGAACACAGCTCCATTGTTGGGGAAATGTGGTGTTCTTTTATCATCTTGTTGAAGTATTTTTCACCTTCATCCACTAATCCAACATGACTACAGGCAGAAATGATGCCAATAAATGTTATATCATCCATTTCCACGTTTTCTCTCTGCATTTCTTCGAAAACATTAAGAGCTTTCTTCGCACAACCATGCTGTGCATATCCAGAGATCATCGAGTTCCATGACACGAGGTCTCTTTCCCGCTGCTTTGTAAAAACCTGATAAGCATTATCTATATTCCCTCTCTTAGCATACATTGTAATCAGAGCACTACATACGCATAAAGCATCACTTAATTTTGATTTCATTGACCATGCATGAAACTGCTTTCCCTGCTCTAAAGGTGCTGTAGGTGCCGCACAGGCATTGATAACACTTGAAAAGGTGAATTCATTAGGTTTAATCCCCTCCTTCACCAGCTGCATAAAAACTTTGGTAGCTCCCACGGAGTCTCCTATTTGAGCATACCCACCTAGCATCGCCGACCATGCAACAATGTCCCGCTCATCAATTTGTTCGAAAGCTTTGGCAGCTTCTTTGATATTTCCCAGCTTAACATAAGCATCTAAAATAGCAGTTCCGACAGACGACGACTTCTCATAATTAGCTTTGATTACTTGTGCATGTATTTGGAAAGGAGAAATAGTGGGTTGGGCTGTAAGGATTGTAGTATAAGTAAAATGGTTTGGTCTAACACCTTTCTTGTTCATTAAACAAAAAAGTTTCACTGCCTCTTGAATTTTACCGTTCTGCAGGTGCCCACTGATCATAGCCGTCCAAGATACAACATTTTGAGCTTCAAGCATCATTGAAAACAACTTGAATGCATCGTCCATTTCACTGCACTTACTGTAAGCTACCATAAGCGTGGTTTTGATTTTAGGGTCACAACTAAAACCATCTTTCAAAACTCGACAATGAAGCTGTCTTGCAAAACCCAATTCCTTACGGTTAGCACATAACTTTATAAGAGGAGCAAAAGACATCTGAGTAAGCTTAACACCAGCTAGCCTCATATCGTAAAATGTTTCGAAAGCTTCCAAATCAAGCCCATTTGTTACATAACCAGAAATCATACAATTCCATGTCACAGCATTCTTGGTTTCCATGCCATCAAAAAAAAAGTCTAGCATTTTTACCCATCCCTGATTTTAAATACATATTAATCAAAGAATTGCACACAAAAGTTGTTGTCTTGAGACCAAATTTTACAATCAAACAATGAACTTGAACGCCGGTTTCTACCATCCCTTCAGACGCCAGAGCTACAAGAACAGCAGCAAAGGTATATGGATTGGGTTTTATCCCTTCCATGTGCATTGTCAAGAACAATTCCAAAACTTGCTCGTTCATTCCATTCTGAGCATAGCCACTAAGCAATGAAGTCCAAGAAACCATATTCCTTTCCCCCAAATGATCAAAAACTCTCCTACCATCTTTAACATTCTCTGTTCTCATATACTTATCTAAAAGATAAGTCCCTACAGTGACATCCTCAAGTAACCCAAGCTTCAAACATTGGCAATGAACTTGTCTTCCAGCTATCACATTAAACAAGCATCCGCATACCTTTAAAACACAGGATAACGTGGATGCATCAACCGGTAAACCAAAACGATGAATACCCAAAAAGAGATTTAGAGTTTCCTCCTTGTTGTTATTGCGAGAGTAGTCGAAGAGCAAAGCATTGTAATGGGAAAGATCTGGGTGAGGACTTTTGTCAAACAGATGAGGAGTCTGCCGTAAAGTAGCATATTCAACGCAAAAATTTGAGCGTTGAAGGTTCAAATTCAATGCATTGATTTGGGAAAGGGAGAGATATCTGTGGAATGGATTGTTGAGAAATTGTTTTGCTTGATTTCTCTTGACTGTTCTGAAAGAGACTCTCAAGATCATGCTAGCCTGTTTAATGATAGTAGGCAGTGAACAATGTTTGAGGTGTGTTTCGGTTGTTTATTTGTGCGACCAAACTAGTAGGTTGTTAACATCCATTGGAGCTTCAAAATAACTGCTTTCGTCTCCAGGGTTTGAGCATCACAAAGATTGTTCCAATGCGATTAAGAATACAAGTGATGGTGTTTTCTTTTCTTTTCTTTTTGGTATTTTAGAGTGAGTGTTATGATCAGATATATTACTGAAATCATATTATATATAATATGACAAGATATTGAAGACGTATTTTTTTTAAGGCTTGAGGTAAAAGTAGATGTTTAAATTATATTTGAAATTAATTTTAGATGTTTAAAGAATTTTTTATTAAAATTAAGTATTTAGTTTTTTAACATTATATTTTTAAATGTCTTTGCTGTAATACGCAATAAAAAAAAATTGTTGACGACATATATCACATCTATTTTTTTAAAAAAAAAAAACTTTAAATTAATATTAATTAAAAATTATATTTCTTGAAGTTACAAAAATATCTCAAAATACTCTAACAAGTACTCAAAATTTAAAATCCCTGAAGCCCTCCATATTGTTGACCAGTCCAAATCCCAAACAACCGACTAACCAGTGAAGCAGAACAATGAAACTCAAATGGGCGAAGTAGGAAATTGAAATCCTTTTTAGCGAAAGCGAGGGAGAGAAAGCAGCGTGCGAGATGAGGGGATGGGCGGCGGGAGAGAGAGTAGGGGACGTGTGGGGGGAGGGGATGAACTTTTTCCTATAAAAAATAATTTTAAAAAAAAATAAAACTTTAAATATAAAATGCGTTACTTAATTTTTTTAATAATTATTACGAAATAGACACCTAAATGCAATAGGTATATAACTTTAAAAAAAACTTTTACATTAATTTAAAAAAAGGATTAAAAATGTTGAAATGATATATTAAAACCTATGCGAAGCCCACAAAGTAAAAACATTGGATTCGTTTATTCTTTTTGATAAAAGTTTAAATATTGCTTGATGTAATGAAAACTCTCAGTTTTAAACTCACCCCAACTTATCCCTAATGTCTAATGTTATGTATGTAAACAATGCCCTTGATGATCCAAGAACAAGGCTAAAAGAATTGAATCAATACATTCAGGTTATGTACCTTGAAAATCTAAGGGATTTCGGATAAACTTATTCAGAGTAAATACCCCTAACTGGTAGGGCAGCAGATAGTAAATATTCCAAATGGTGACCAGAAACTTCAGATCATTTCGGAAACCAGATAATTATATACCAGAAAATTGGCCATCAAGTTTAAGCAGAAAAAAGGTGCAGCTCATATTCAAGCATCATATGTCAAATTTGTCATAATCTTCTTTACACTGTAAATGACGAGCGATTCGGATGGTCCAGAAGTTAATAATAAACTTACAGGTTTCATTAAATCCATCACCCTTCCTCCCCAAACTCATTTGTAAATCTTTCATGGACCTCAAGATCAGCTTTGCTCACTGTTGGCCTCTGTCTTGCAAGCACCTTGTCAAAATCTGATCCGGAGATAGGTGGTGGAAGGATCTATGTGGGCATTAATCAATCAAAATATATTTTAATTACATAAAAAATCACAAATAATATCAGAGAATCTCCAACAGCATTGAGGAGCAGAGGCTAATAAAATTTACAACTTAAATACTCTATATATCAAGCAAGTCCATACCTGTGCTGCAAGTCCATTGGCTGCCAATTCCTGCATATTAATTTGGACAGCATTTGGTTGCTTTGGTCCGCATGGCATCCACATATCATTCGGTGTCTTGAAGAAAAACATGGCATCTTGAGTTTTACGAACAGGTTCAAAAAGAACATCCTTAACCTGCCATGGCATAAACAAGTAAAGAAGTGCAAAACTGAGCTATACTCCATAATGGCCTTTCAGAGTAAACTCACACCAGAGATAGATTATTGTTGCACATAGTGTCATAGTTATTTTTGCACTTACACAAACAGATATGTCTGACCCTGAAAACTTGTCCGTCCGACGAGCTAAGCTTTCAAAATCACTTTCAGTCAAGTTGTGAGGAGTATCACCCAAATGCACCTGTTACCAAAACAAGGCAGCCATGTGACAAAACAATAGAGTTTTTTAAGGACAATATTAAGGGTAAGGTCAAGTACTTTGAACATATGTTGCCGAGCCTTCAAATCTGGAAGAGGAATGTGGATACGCTTATCAAAACGCCGGCGGATAGCCTATATGAAAACTAATTAGTAAAAGAAATACTCTGCCAATTCAATATGAACAACTTTATACATCTTTTTCAGTAGATGAAATATTACTACACACGGAACCTTTAAGGCCTAAGGACACTCATTAAGTCTTTTTTCCCTTTACGGCTTTACCTGATCAAGTGCATAAGGAGTATTTGTTGCAGCAAGCACTAGGACTTTCTGATCATTATTTCCAACGCCCTAAAACATAAAAGAACAATGCATAAAACCCATTCTTTAAGCTTGAAACCTGTGAAAGAAGAATACATACATCTATTTGTCACAATATAGCATGTTGCATAAATATGCTAGCATGCTGCAGAATATACCAACAAAAATATCTTGCATAAATACACCTGAATGATCTCTAAAAATATGAACTTATAAATCTTTCTAAATATATATTATATGGGCAAGGAAAATAATTTCTTGAATAGCCTCAGGCAAATAAATTTTAATTTTCTTAGCGATCTTACCACTGATACATACCTGCATCTGCACAAGAAGTTCAGTTTTTATACGTCTTGATGCTTCACTCTCATTGCCCTCGCCACGCTGTCCACACAATGAATCTATTTCATCAATGAATATGATGGATGGTGCACTGTCACGAGCCATCTGAAAAAGGTTTGAAACCAGCTTTTCACTTTCCCCCATCCACTTTGAGACAAGGTCTGATGAAGAAATACTAGCAGAAAAAAAGGGGAATGGGATTAAATATTAATAGAGAAACAAGCTGAAACCTAATGTCCATAATACATGCACATAAACAGAGAAAAACATAAACAAAATGCTCATAATCACACAAATAAAAGCCAAGAGAAAGTATTTTTATGAAAATTCGTAGATTATTACATAAATTCAATATGATTGGAATTCGTCACAGAAAACTACATGCAAATAATCAACTTAGATTCCAATAATGAAACTCATAAGCCTAGCAACTCCTAAACTAGTATAGACACAGTAAACCCAGGTAAAAGGAACTGTAAATTGTAGTTTTGCTTCTCAATGACACAGTCCCTAGAATGCATAATATATAGAATCCTTGGTTGTCAAAATATAATAACATAAAAATGGAGCACTGAAGTTGCTGCGCTGCTGCGGCAACATTATGTGGTAATAGACATCATAAAACAATTCACACATAACTATTCAAGCACGGTGATTATAAATTTCGCATAACAAAACAACAAACATGGAACTCAGAAGGAAGGTAAGGAAGCTTGCACTAAAGAAAACAATAGATGTTACAGAGTTTTTGCAACCAAATTTAAGTCTCCAGCCCAGAACCACAATATCTATACTCTTCCAACTCTTTTCCAATGCAATTCAGTGATGCACATATTAGTCTGTACAAGCACCACCTTTCCTTTATCCCGGATAAAAGGAAAGCGGTGGCTGCATCGTAGAGGAAAGGGTAGATGACGCAACATCAGCATACGTGCTAAAGCCTTTTCAACTTTGTTTTCATGACAAAAAATGCATCTTAAAAATCAATAAAAGTGGGAAAAGGTTTTCAAACTCTTATTATGGGCAGACAAAAAGGTCAAATATGGAAAAAGATATAATACCTAAAGAATGTAGAGTCTGCTTCAGTTGCAACAGCCTTGGCCAAGTATGACTTTCCAGTCCCAGGTGGCCCATACAGCAGAAAAGCTCTCCATGGCCTTCTCTTTCCTAACAAAGAACAAGTAGGAAAACTTCAACAAAATTAATCAATTGCATCCCAGAATATATAATGTTTAAATGACAACAAATAGAATTGGAAAAGCAGCTAAAAGGAGAGTACAGATTTATTTAGTCAGCACCTACTCCAAAATATAGTTCAAGCAAACATAATACTTAAGTAGTTCAAAACTCATCAACTTTATACTCTAGCAAGGCCAATATGATATCCAAAATCATCAATATTAATAAAGTTACAAGGCAAGAAAATATAAGGACTGATTAATGGTAAAGCTCAATTTCTACCAGAATCCAAGTCCTCGACGACTTTGTTTAAACCCCTATTGTAAGGAGAAAATTCAGTCGGACAGAAAATTAGACGAGTCTAAGTTGAATTAAATAAATCCTGCTAGACAATTATAATGGAACCATAAAATATATTTAAAAACTTCTCTTTCAAAACCAAATTAGCCCATGTGATCGAAATTGCAATGTTGTCAACTTCAAAGGAGGTAGAGTCTATGATAATGCAAGCCTTTAGCAAGTTTGGCACATTTAAGTGTTGCAAGAAGTGAGCATTTCAATGCTGATGTTAAAATGGTTATTGTCACTTAACAACTATAATCATTAGATTAGTAAAATAATAACCAAAGAAATGATTTCAAAAGTAACAATGCTTTCTGAAATGAACTCCCTCACATGGTTCACTAGCAAGCAAAAATCTTGCTCTAGGATTCTGTCCAAGTACTGCCTAGGAGAATTACAGCAAGGCACGGCACAAGTTGCCATATCAATAAGTTGCTAAAGTTTCTCTCCATTCAACAGTCTGATAGAAATTAACAGGTGCTATATTCACATGTAGTGTATCATAGGTTTTCAAAGAACATAAATCTAGCATTCTCGATTCACATTTAGGATTGAAAAACTTGCGCAGAGGAAAATAGAAACAATTCATAATGCAACAAAATTAGGCACTCTTCATTGCCACAATCGACTTAAAGAAACAAGCATGATTACCAATATCAGATATCAACACCAATAGCAACTTTTGCATCTATATGATATCACGACCAAAAGAAAAATAAATTTCTTAACAGTTCCACAATCAACGATAAAACCATTTCACTATTCTCTTCCAATTGGGGAAAAACAAGAAAAAAATCACGGACATCATAGTCTTAAGTGAGGAAAAATCCTTAACGACTCCTATCAGGGAAACCTCATAGAACATAAAACTCATGGATAATCTAACAATCAACAATTAATCAATTTCATTATTAACCACTAATTACTAAAATCCAGCTAAAGCCACCAATTTAAACAAATACACCCGAATCATCCTCATAAAATCCACAACAAAATTCGCCAAGAAAAACTAACCAGTAAAAAACTGAGGGAATTTGACAGGCAAAATAACAGCTTCTTGCAAAGCCTGCTTAGCACTTTCTAGCCCAGCCACATCATTCCACTTAATATTAGGTTTTTCCCTAATAATAGCCGAATCAAGCCCAGCTCTCAACTTAGCCTGTTCGGGATCCTCCCCATCACCGCCTTCTCCTCCGCCACTGCCATCCTTGGGCTTAGTTTTGGGGCGAGTGGCAACAGCAGCACCCCCGTTAGTAGCCGGCCCAGGCCCACCTTCATCGAGAACGGCACGGATCTCCTCGGCACGGCGTAAATACTCGGTGAATTTCTGGGTAATAGCTTCCCTAATTTTGGGGTTCTTCTCGTATTTCAAATGGGTTTTGAAATACTCGAGTGCGTTCATGTATAAAGGGAAGGCTTTGCTGTAGTTGCCGGCATTGTCTTCTTGTACCGCTTGCTTCACGTACTCTATCGCTTGTTCTTTGAAATTGCTATACATGTCTTGTTTCTTTAAGGGGATCGTATCGTATATCTTCTCTCAATGAAATTGCATGGGATGGATGGATGGAAATTTTAGTAAATTTACTCTTTCTTCGTTTTGAAGTTCAGGGAAAGGGAAGACCAAGTGCTAATTGCAACGGATTAGGGAAATGTTTATTCTTCAAGATGCATCTATTCCACATGGAAGGTTCCTTCGTCATTAATATAACAAATTCTTATTTATTATTTATAATTTTTATAAAAATTCTATTTATTCTTAAAAATATATATATCAACAGGTTTTAATCAATATATTTATTAATAATTTTTAATAAAAATTAAGAGAAAAATCCTCCACGTGTCATCATTTGATTGTGTGATAAAATTAATTGAATTAAGACTAAATTGATATAATATATAAGTAAGGAAGATCAAAAGTGAAATTATGCAAAATTATTTAACAAATAAATCATTATTTCGGTTAAATGCTTTGATTAATGATATTTTTAATAATTTAATGTTTAATTAGAAAATGTAAACTACATATACAATAATTAATATTTAAGTAATTTCTTTTTCTATCGATGTTTTAAACAGTAAACGTTATCAAATTATAATAAATCATCAACTTTTTATTACAATTGTTATTAAAGGTAATAAAATACTAATGTGGGACGCTAAATCAACTAGTGTGATATCATTTGATCACGCGATACGGACACAATATTCAACTGTTCGACTTCCCTCTATTTTTAACCGATGTTTAATGTGACCGATTATAGAAAATCACATGGGAGTAGCACGATTTACCAAATTACTTGAAAAATCCATACTTGATTCAGACCAGTCAAGGTAGTGTATGGATGGGTTATGATTGAGTCGAAGACCATTTTTGAAGGCGGGTTCAAGTTAAATGCATTCATTGTTGATCTCATATCCATCATGGAATCTTTTCATGCTTTAACTCGGATTGTGGGGCAAGGAAAACAATTAAACTGGTGTGATTCCGTTTCATATCACTATTTTTCTAACAACAATTTCAAACTTCGTTATTACTGTTATAAACGATCGTTATTCTGCTACCCGGCAGTTATTTGAATTCATGCATGTGACGTCGTTCTGTTCACTGGTTGACAAATTCAGGGTGTCATGAGGATTAGCCTCTGGTCCGATGGGTTGACGATCATCAAGCACATAATAGTCATCACCAGGCAACAGACAATATAACACAAAACATGTTTTAACCTGAATTTCAAGGCATGAAACCTTCAATCCTTGATGCATTTTATTTCATCTAATATACATACACATGCACGTAAATAGATAAAATAAAACTAAGTAAAGCACATGTTCGATCATCCACAAAGGAAATATAAAACTCATGCAGAGTTACAGCATGAACGCTTTAGAAATAAATGAAATGAAGTACACAACCATTCACTGGTTGGGTAACACAATTAGGGTTTGATAATAGCAATGGGGGAAGATGAGTATTGAGTGAAAAGATAATAGTATTCTTCAAAACTGAACCATAAATTTTGAATTTAACAATTACTTGAGAAAATTTTTACTCAAATTCAAACTGCACCTCTACGTTCATATATTTCCTCATCAACCCAACAATAGATGAGGTGAAATTAGCCAATATTTGGCATTCTTCAAGCGACTTGGCTTCGGAGACAGACCCGAAAATAATCATTTTTCGAAGATTCGGACACCGTATTAGCAGCTCCTCGACCCAATGCGAGAAGATATCGGTAATCACAGTCCATCCCAGCTCCAACACCATAACGTTCTCTAAATTAGTACCATCTTGCATTACTCCATCTTTCAATTCATAACTTAATGCAAGATGTTTCAATTCCGGAAAACAATCGGCAATTGTTTCCAAGTCCACGACCTCGTCTTCATCATCGAAGGCCACATCCCAAAGTCGAAGCTTCTTCAATCTCGAGGACCTCGAAATCATCTGGTAGAGTTTTGGCCATACGATTGTGAAGTTACTGATGTCAACTACCTCGAGATCAAACATGAACTCACCAATGTCAAGATGTATCACACTAACATCATCAATCTTGAAATATTTCAAAGTGCCTTTCCCAATCAGTTCGAAAAGTTCGAGGGCGCAATCCTTCAAGTGCAGGCGCTCGATATTGTCAGCCTCGAGTATAAATTTATCCAAACTAATTGCTTCAACATAAATACTCCTCAACGTTTGGCTGCACAATTCCACTGACACTTGAGCATCAGACATTGCTATATCTGGATTCACAAGCTCCAGGCTCTCAAGCATCGGACATGCAGTGAGCAAAAGGCTCAAATCCAAAGCCGAAATACTAACATGACTCAAAGAAAGGGACTTCAAACAAAGGAATCTCTGAAAATTAGGTTCAACCCCTGTTATCGAATTGTTGGCCAGTGCCAAAGTTTCCAGCTTTTGCTTCCCACAGATCTCAAGGATGTTAACATTTGGACTGGTTCGGACATTGTAGAACAGTCGGTGCAACGTCTCCCTAGTATACATGAGCCAAGCAATAACAGTTGAAGCCGAGAACTCATCGACATCATCGATCAAAATCGATAGGCCTTGCAATCCAACAGTTTGGAAAATCGTTTGAGTAATCAGGATCTCTAATTGTCTAGGCGAGATGTCACGATAAGGAGGCAAATCATTAGAGTTGAATGCAAGGGTGTGAAGGTGTTTCCGACTAGCTTCTCGCCATTTCCGACATGTGGCAGAGGCAATCACCACATCCCGAGCACCTCCAAGCCGAGACAGAATCTTTCCGATGACTTCAACTGGTAGGCGCTCCATTGCCATAAAGATCACAAGCCTCAAATCCACAAATTGGAATTTCTAAAGATACTCAACTCAACAAATAAAGTTGGCATTGGTTGAAATCATTTCCCAGGTTTTATTTCCCAGCAGTGAAAAATGTCCTGTGATGAAACAAACTCTAAAGTTCACAAAAAAAAACATGATTTTTAGTTAGATCTTCAAACATATGTCACATCCAAATAAAACAAATTTAAGAATATAATATAGGAGAAAAAAGGGTTCAAAGAAGATTTAAATAACATAATCTCAGCAGTATTCCAAAAATAATAATAATAAAGATCTAATATCTTCAAGTAAAGAAGCGGAGTCAAAATCAATTATTATATTCTGGGTTCTTAAAAGTATGTGCTTTTGGGGTCTAAAATCAATTCAGTGACTCGGAAAATAGAATGATCCCATAATTAAAAGCAGATATAAATCCAAATTTTAAAGGAAAATTTTGAGTTTTTCCATCTGGGCATTTGATAAATATCTCAAATTTCACATCAAATGGAAAAAGAAAGAAAGAAAAACTTACCCGAAATCAGAGAAAATAATAAACAAGCTTTTGTTGATGAGTTGGATACGAAGGTTTTTTTTTCAATGAAATTATTTGGAGAATCAAATTAAAAGATAGGAATTAAGTTTTCACCTCTTTTGATGCAAATTTGCAAACTCTGCCTATGCGGATTATTTCTATTTTTATCCCAATTTATGAACAATGTGAATTTGTGATGTGTAATTATAAACTTCACTTAATTGTTCGTTCCTACTCTATATATAGTACTAGTTTGATTAGAAAATTTTCCCAAAAAAAGCTTTGATTTATATATCTACAAGAAACTCTGGCAATTAGCAAACTGTTCTGTTAATTCATTAGAATAAATTATCATTATTAAACCCTAATGATAATAATAATCATAATTTGGGTTTCTGGATCAAAATGGAGTAATATTTTGGGCTTAGATTTTAGACCCAAAAATGAGCTAGACCCAATATCATTGCCTTCTAGGGTTTTATTGTTGCTGATTCCTTGTATACTTTTCAGTATCCAGAAAAAAAGTTAGCTTCTCTCTTCTCTGGTAAATTACTCACTTCTCTTTCTCGCTAAACCTTCCATAACTGCAACTTTATGTTTTCTTATCAGATCTAATATTAATTCGTGCATTCTGCGCTTTTTGATTACTTGTAACTTTGTTTTACAGGTTAGTTTTTTTGTAGCTTTGTTCCTGGAAAGAACGGAAGTTCAGAGATGAGGTAATTTTAATTCTTCCTTCTTTTCTTCATTTTATCATTTGAGAATATTTTTTCTGATTTTTTCCTTCTTTTTATACATGTTCTGAAATTAAGTATCCTACTTTATATATTGGGTCCTGGGAATTTCAGTTTTTTCCCTTGTTTAATTTATATGACATGTCCTTCGTCTTGATGTTGTTTAGCGGAAGTGAATTTAGGGTTTTTTCCTCCATTTTGTCTTCTCTGTCTTGTAGGGTAATTTGTTGGGCCATATCCTCTACCGACTGTAATTTTTTTAAGTTTTGGATTTGAAATGTTTGTGTGAAAGTATTTTTGCTTAGTTTAATCCTTGCTTCATAGTAATTTATGATGCATGTCCTAATTTGTTGTTTCTTTCCTTGAAAGATTTGTTTATTTACTATTTGTGGTAAGCTTCAGAGTGATGCCCTTGGAGAAGCTATTTCAACCATTGTAGCTCAGTCGAAGGAGAAACAACGGAAGTTTACTGAAACCATTGAACTCCAGATTTGGTTGAAAAACTATGATCCCCAGAAAGACGAGCGTTTCAGTGGTTCCGTGAAGCTGCCTCACATTCCTCGCCCGAAGATGAAGATCTGCATGCTTGGAGATGCTCAACACGTTGAAGAGGTAAATTTGCTGCTTAAGTCAAACTTGGTTTACTTATAGTGTGTATAGGTTTGCCCATGTACGTCCCTTTAGAATTATACAACAAATGTGCCTTAAGTCCTTCCAGATGAGGAGCGGAGGCACACATTTCTTTAATGTGATACGAATAAAAAAGGCCGACTTGATTGAAATTTCCTTTAATTTCTTTACTTTTAACTTTTTCAGTAAATGTATCTTACTAGTAAGAAAGGGGAAGTATTGAACTCTGCTTCACAATAGTTGAATATTCAACAATAAACATGGAACCATAAGAAAATCATGCATATTGGTGATCAAAATGAATTTCATGTTTCGTACATAAATGAGATCACTCTTAGAATTTATTATCATAATGACATATCCTAAGCTTATTTTATATACATATAAAGACGTGTATAATCCCATCCATATGGTGCCTTGATTCGCTCAAGTGAGCACTCCTTTTATGCCTTGTGTCTGAGGCAACTGTTAAGGCTTCTAGCTCCTGAAGTGCCGTTTGCACCCTTTACAACACTGCTTTTAACCTTTTAGTGTCCATTTGTGCAATGAGTTCTTTTTAATGGTTTATTTTGTACTGTAGGCTGAGAAGATAGGTTTGGATTATATGGATGTTGAAGCTCTGAAAAAGCTAAACAAGAACAAGAAGTTGGTCAAAAAGCTTGCCAAAAACTATCACGCCTTTTTGGTTTCCGAATCAGTCATCAAGCAGATCCCTCGTCTCTGGGGTCCTGGTCTCAACAAAGCAGGCGAGTGTTACATATCTGTATTGTATCTGTTTTCATCAATTTTTATTTCGAACTAATTATCTTATTCAGAAATTTTATTCGATTTCATTATGATATGGATGTCCGAAAGAAGATCAGAAAATCTAAAAGATGTGGGCACTATATAAACTCAAGCCACAATAGAAAAAATTATTCGTTTCTTTTATCTTCTCTCAACCGTAGATCATAATTATGTCATATTGTATTTAATGTTATTATATTTTATGGTATTAAATTTTATATTTTTGTATTTTCTGGTATTTTATTTTATGTTATTGTATCTTATGTTATTGTAATTTTTAATATTGTATTGTGTCCTATTTTATTTTATTGTATTTTCTCTTATTATATTTTGTATTTTTCATATAATATATTATAAGTTTTATATATATTTTTTCATTTTTTATTCTTTTAACATCGTACAATCACAATCTCTAAAAGATATATATTGAAATATATAAACTTATTATCATATTCAATAAATTATTATAAACCCTACAAATTTTAAAAATTTCACCTTTTATTTTTTAAATTAGAATATCTACACTTATTGTCACTCCAATTTTATATCTCTGTTTATGGTTTAAGACATGCATATATCTTATGAGTTTTAAAAAATTAAACTAGGGACTAAAATACAAATAATGAAATATTTTAAGTTTAATTTCACCTAAAATTATTATTTAACAATATAAAAATTAAAACCCTAAACCACTAACCTAATTTTAAAATCGAACCGATCGAAAGAACATGTCTTCCATAGGGACAACCACACAAGTAAAAAGTACGTTCTTCAAAATGCGCCTTCACCGAGCATGATGCCATATAGGAAAATAACGTTCTGTAAAACACGTCTTCTTACCATGCAACATAAATGGATACTAAATCGAGAATTAACAAGCAATGAGTATTATTTTAATAAATATTTTTTCACTGATATTTAAATAAAATTGTCAAAATATTAATCATTAATTTATTGACTACTAATGTACTTTAACCTAAAATTTATTTATATATTCTTTAATTTGGATTATTTTAACAACCGAAATTATATTTTTTTTTCTATTTTTTCAATTATTTTCTAATTTCTATTTTTAATATTTTTTTATTAGTTTTCACCTAAAAAAAGTGGGTGTTCCATTTTCAAGCATCAATACATATATGAAAACATAACAAAGATCAAAAGAAATAACTTTTTCAAGAAACCTTGAGCACACACGATCAAGAAACCTTTTTTAGAATAATTTTTGGCAAAAATGGGTTACAAGTGAAGAACAAGCTATATGTTTTCGATTTCATTTGGTCTTGTTTATATATATTGTCACGATTGGTGGATTTGGGTATGTGACTTGTGCGCATAAACCCTTAGAAGAGGTCTTTTGCGTAGACATGGGCTTGACAGGACAATTTGACTTAGTTCTTGAAGAATGTTAATTCAGTGAAGAATTAAGTCTGAGGGCGTCCGAGAGAAAAGTGGCGAGGGTATTACCAGGTTCGATGGGAGCAATTGTCGAGGCTCGTGAAGTTCGGACCAAGACATGTGTGGGTAGATATCTGCATAAGAGTCATACGAAGTATTGGGCCCAAGACCACTGTCGTAACCAGTTTTCGTCCGGGCACGAAATATTAAATTTGGCGGGGAAATTGATGTGAATAAATAATTTTGAAAATAATTTGTGAGTCGCCATCGGCCTTTTGGATCAGGTAGGTCGAATACCTAAAAATTATCTTTTAAAAGAGTTTTTAAGAAAACCATATTTAAAAGATAAACTGATCTGCGTTTTATAACCAAAAATTCGTTCTTTTTAATAATAAAAAGGGATTCGTGGTCGGTTACGTTTAGGGAAGGATTAGCACCCCTACAACGCCCAAAATTGGTACTTTTTAATTATAAATTGTCTCTATTATTAAAATTTAAAAATTCAAAAATATATTTAATTTATAATCCTATTATTTCAAAATTATATAAAAAATATTTATTTATTTAAAAATATCCGAAAAGAATTTCTAGGTGCCTTAAGACAGCTCTTTTCTTTGATATTGATAAATATTAATTTAAATAATATGGTTTACTTTTTAATTTTAAAATATCAGAATAGGACATCCAGTTGTATTAAGACTGTCCTTTTCTTCGATATTAAAAATAAATATTTAAAAATTACTATTTATTATATATTTATAAAAATATTTAACAATATAATAAAATAAAAATACAAATACTACTAAAACAATATATTTAAAAACAATAAAATAAATGAAAACATATAAAATAACTGACTAAATTATAATAAAAATAAAATTAAGAATCTAATTCATAATTAATCAAAATTATAGGGATTTAATATGTTATTTCCTTATTTTATTTATTTGGTGACTAAAATAAAATTATCTAAAATTCGGATATTATAATCAAATAAATTAAAAATATAAACTAGGGATTAAAATATTATTTATTAAAATTAAGGGATTAAATCTGTAATTTATCCTAAATATATTATTTTAATATGAAGGACTAAAATAAAAGAAATTAAAATTCGAAGACTGAATTAAAAATATTATAAATTTAATTTAGTGACTAAAATGTAAATTTTACAAATACGAAGGACTGCGGACGGGGTTTAACTATTTCATAATTACGCGCATAGTCCTTCCCGAAACGACGTCGTTCGGGAAGGACTATAAGAGTCCAAATCGGCTGGCCCGAAGGGCTAGCCATTTCATTTCTTCTTCCTTTTTTTTTTCTTTCTCTCAAACAGAGAGAAGAATTCTCTGTCTTCTCTCTAAACTGAGAGAAGCTCAGCCGGCCGGCAGCCGTTAGCCGGCGTTCATCCGCCGTCAACCACCGCCGCCGGCCACCGTCTTCGTTGGCCGGAAAAATTTTTTTTTACATCTAAATGTAGATCGGACCGTCCTAATGACGGTCTCGATACTTTTTTCCGTTAAACGACTCCCAATCGGAGCAGATCTACAAATATACCTTCGGTTTTTGTTGTATCCGGCGAGATCCGTGGTCGAGGCTTCCTCGGTAAGTCTCTTCTTCCTTTTTTTTTTTTTTTTTTTTTTGGTTTTCTTGCTGCTGAGATCGTTGGTATTAGTTTGTATTTTCTCTGTTTTTTTTTTCTATGTCTCTCTCTATTCTTTTTTTTTTGTCTCTCTGTCTCGTTCTATATCTCTCTGTCCTTCTTTTTTTTTTCGCAGATGGGGTGGTGGCTTTTATAGCCACCACCGGTGTTCGTCTCAGACCGGTCCGAAGAGGGGGCCTCGGTGAGTCACCGGACTACCAGTGGTGACTCACCCCGTAGCCTTGCATGGACGGCTGGCGTTGATCTTCTGGAGTCTTCCTTCTGGACGTGGCAGCGGCGGAGGCGGCGAGAAAACTGTCGGCAGCCGCGTAGAAGCTGGGGCGGCGCCGCGTGGCCCTAGGGTATCAAACCCTAGGGTTTCTCTCTGGAACCATCTGGACCGTTGGATCGTGCCAGATCCAACGGCTGTGAGCTGAGGCGGCTGGGTAAATTAGGGTTAGGAAACCCTAACTGGAAACCCAAGTATTTAGGGTTTCTGGTTGAATTTGGACTGGTTCTAGTTGGTTTGTAACTGGGCCGGTCCAGTTGTAATTGGCCTGTAATTTATATATGTATTTAATATATTTAATAATAATAGTAATAATGATAATAATAATAATAATAATAATAGTAATAATAATATTAATAATAATAATAATAATAGTAATAATAATAATAATAATAATAATAATATGGATAATAATAATATGGATAAAAAAAATTAGTATCTTCAGCTGCCCCTCTTTGCTCATTCTTGTGTTAACAAGAATAGGGCAAAGATGAAAAGATAATAAATTTTTTTTATCCATTTGACTTTATTTTGATCATAATGGAGATATTGAATAAATTCTTCTCTCTCTCCAAATAAGTTCTTCTTATTATGAACTTTCTGCTGGGGATGATGATGACCTCCTTTCTGTGATAGAGTCATTCAAAAGGTTGAATAAGCTCTTGATGAGTTCTTCTCATTATGAACTTTCTCTAGAAAGGCTGATGCTAATCTATCTCCTTCTGTGATAGAGTCATTCAAAAGGTCGAATAAATTCTTCTTATTATGAACTTCTTCTTTCTTCTTCAGATGAGTTCTTCTCATTATGAACTTCTCTGGAAAAGATAATCCATCAATTGATGAATTCAGGTAAAAGGTTGAACAAATTCTTCTCATTATGAACTTCTTCTTCCTTCTTCAGATGAGTTCTTCTCATTATGAACTATACCTGGCAATGTTGATCCATCAAATGATGAATTCAGGTAAAAGGTTGAACAAATTCTTCTCATTATGAACTTCTTCTTCCTTCTTCAGATGAGTTCTTCTCATTATGAACTTTCTCTGGAAAAGATGATCCATCAAATGATGAATTCAGGTAAAAGGTTGAACAAATTCTTCTCATTATGAACTTCTTCTTCCTTCTTCAGATGAGTTCTTCTCATTATGAACTTTTTCTGGAAAAAATGATCCATCAAGTGATGAATTCAGGTAAAAGGTTGAACAAATTCTTCTCATTATGAACTTCTTCTTCCTTCTTCAGATGAGTTCTTCTCATTATGAACTTTTTCTGGAAAAAATGATCCATCAAGTGATGAATTCAGGTAAAAGGTTGAACAAATTCTTCTCATTATGAACTTCTTCTTCCTTCTTCAGATGAGTTCTTCTCATTATGAACTTTTTCTGGAAAAAATGATCCATCAAGTGATGAATTCAGGTAAAAGGTTGAACAAATTCTTCTCATTATGAACTTCTTCTTCCTTCTTCAGATGAGTTCTTCTCATTATGAACTTTTTCTGGAAAAAATGATCCATCAAGTGATGAATTCAAGTAAAAGGTTGAACAAATTCTTCTCATTATGAACTTCTTCTTCATTCTTCAGATGAGTTCTTCTCATTATGAACTTTTTCTGGAAAAAATGATCCATCAAGTGATGAATTCAGGTAAAAGGTTGAACAAATTCTTCTCATTATGAACTTCTTCTTCCTTCTTCAGATGAGTTCTTCTCATTATGAACTTTCTCTTCAAAAAATAATCCATCAATTGATAGATTTGAATCTTTGCTAAAATCTTTGAAATTCCTGTTAAAAATTCAACATAATGAAAATGAATGAAAAT